TACATTCAATTTACTATTATGTGCTGATGCTGAACAAGCATTTCTCATTAAAATTCTACGACAATCTCAGAAAATCAAAACAACTTTCATTGTGTTCATTTTCAACAAAATTGTTTTTGTATTTTATCAAAAGTATTTGTTTGATATTTAGACTAAATATAAATGTGTGTATGTATTTATACTCAACTCATGAATAACAAAGTCTCAGTTATGGTTCTATGCTACAAGTCTTGGTTTTTGTTGTGTAGGACTTAATGAAAAGAAAATTAATAGATTTAGTGATGTCGTCATTATTTTGCGTGAGTATATGTGTCATGCATATTTTTAAGCACACTTGACTCGAAAAATAACGTATGTGTATTTTTTGTAGTTATGTCATTTTTTAAAATTTTCAATCAATGTATATCACTTATCTGTAAGTATTTTAAAAGATATATTCTCGAGTAGTTAGTAGTGAAGGGTTAAGAAGAAAAGATTTCTTTTTTTAAATCTGAAATGCAGAACAGAATTTTAACAATAAGGTAGATAAAGATAGCCCTATATTCGAGTATTTTCAGTCCGGATTCGTTCAGGAAATGTTTCAGGTATTCTCATTTGTGCTCTAAGTAGAGTTTGATGTGTTGTATCGAATGATTAAATCAGATTTACGATATCTCAAACCATTCGTTTACAAGTTGGAAAATATTAGTTCTTCCGCGTGAGCCATGGGTAGAAGTCTGCGGTTCCACAAAATCTGGAACCGAGAACCGAACCGGAACCGCTTTTTAAAAATTTCTCAGAACCGGAACTGGACCGGGAACCGTAAAAAAAATTCCCAAGGAACCGCTAAAGAAACCGGAACCGTTCTTCTGTTGTATGACTGCCGACATCGAGTTTTTTCAGAAGAAAATTTTTATTAAAATGATGCACCATGCCTATTACACAAGACCTAATGTTATTCTTGAGTTGGGGATGCGAGTCTTCTATTCAGCAACATATTACAGGCATAACCATATCTAATGAACTCCAAGTCACAGCCACACTCAGATAACTCAACGGTTACGCGGTTCTATGGAATATTTTTGGAACCAAACCGGAACCGCTGTTTTTGAATCATTGTGAACCGGACCGGGAACCGTGGTTCCGGTTCCCGGTTCGGTTCCGGGTAATTTTTGGAACCGCAGACCTCTAGCCATGGGAAACCCGGGAAGTAATTCTAGCTCCGCTTCGCCCAGGAAGTGTTCCAGGCATTCTCCTTCTGTTTCAAGTAGAATTCTACACACTCTATCTACCAACACTGAGAAAAATATATGAAACACGTCCTGAGCGAATCAGTGTTGAGAGTACTTCAGGGGTTCCGTTTAGCCCAAAGGAAAAAATCAGTAGTTTTCAATTTTTAAAGCAACGATATGAGAGACCATAAATTTGATTTCATCATTCAATGGATCATACCGAGTTCTAGTTGAAACACAAATGAGAACATCTGGAACGCTTCCTGGGTGAATCAACGCTAAAATTACTTGAATCTGATGATAGCTTCATCGACTTACACACACATGGTTCTAATTTATTGTTTATTAAAACTACAACTAAAAAATATTCATATAACAACAAACCTATTATATATCTTATCTTCTTTTTGTTTTTTCTTTGTATTCTAATAATCAAATAATTTCCAACATTATTTTGTTCTTTTTTTCGCGTAGCAATTATATGGCTGACAGATATCAGTAGAAATGTTCTTGTTCTTTTTATTTATATTTATGAGGATAAAAAGAAAAAAAATTAACTATAATAAAAGTCACTTTCTTCGAAGAGTCTATTGTTTATGTTTCTCTTTTATTGATATTCCCTATTACAGAAACCAAGGCTCGTAACAGAGTAAAAAATTTCCCCCTGTTCTGTCCTCCGATTGTTCTCATCTGTCCTGTCCTGCACTGTTCCGTCTTGCTATTGTTTTGCCCTGCTCTGTCCTATCCTGTCTTGCGATTTTTCCACTCTGCCCTGTGGTTGTTCTATCCTGCCCTGCCAAAAAAAAGCAACCGAGTGGCAGTTTTTTCTGAAAATATTTAGCGAATAATTGAATGTATTATAATTTTTGTTTATTTGTTCCCTTTCAAAAATAGCGTAACATATATAGAATCAAAATATTTTCTTTTTTTACACTGACCAATAATAGTTTCACGCAAAAAAATACATAAGTGAACAAAACCAAAAATAAATTATAAGTGAATAGAGCGCAAGCCACATGAAAAAGTTTCCCAACAAATTAGTTTCAAATCGATTTTTTTCTCCTTACTAAAAATACGGTGTGGGTGTGGGTATGATTTTTTTCTTCGACTTCAACGACATTCACATCCTCAAAATAAATCGGACTCATTTTGCATCAGATCAAAGAAAATACTACATTGATTAACATATCGAAAAAAAAGCTTTATCAAAGTTATTTTTCTGCCATGGCTGAATGTTTTGGAATTTGATTGTTTCGTCTTTTGTAAGTCTTCTCTCTATTAAAAAAAAATTAAATATTTTTGAATTTTCATTATAGATGGATACCAGTTTGATCTATCACCCATGAATGTTAAATTCATTTCTATACAACCAAAACAGAGTTATTCTCAAAATACTGACCGTTATGAAATTTTAGCTTTTGAGATTTCTTAATGACCACTATTTCAAGAATAACTCTGTCTCACAAAAGAATAAAAAATTAAATCCCGTCGTGTTCATCCACGTTGAAAAAATAACTCTGATAAAATGTTGTTCATATTTTCACCAATTTTGTGTCTTCTTTGAATTGATGCAAACTGAGTTCAATTTCTCTTGGATGATAGCTTATGTACTGTTCTTCAAATACAAATGTACTCCTACTCGATTGTCTTCACCATCTTACTGAACACTACGAAGTGTACCATTTTGTTTTATAGAATTTCTTACCCCGTTGTGAGGGGATTTATATATGGATGAATATATATCCAAAAATTTGAATAATGCCAATAACGATAATACAGTATGGCATTATGTTGACGATATACTAGCGATGACAAACATGAATGAGGAATAAATAAAAGTTTATGTTGAAAAATTTAATTTAATTCAGAGGAACGATAACATTCATATATAAATATGATCGTGATAGAAACTTAACTTTTCTAGACGCAAATTTAACTCAAAATAAAATTCAAAAACAAAATAGATATTAGATGATTTCGAAAAACGATTGCTGCAGACAGACACTTGTTTATGACTCATCCCATTAACAATCGATGAAACATCATTTTATAAAAAGTATGACGACAAGAAAAATGGAAACAATATAAGAAAATAATCAATAAAAGCAAGACTTAGAAAAGTAAAAAATAACTTTAATTAAATCTAAATATCAACGAGATAAAATCAACAAATTAATATAAGATATATTAACCAACAACAAATAAGAACAGTATAAACAAAAAACTCTAAATTCAACAACAAAATAGAAAGAGAAAAGAAATTTATATTTTATCTCATTGCCATCTGTCCTTCATATAGAAATCGTCGAAAGAAAATTAGAAAACTCAAGAACCAAATTTACATTTCACTTACACAAATAAAATTGATTAATCATTAAATTTTAGTACTAAAATAAAATAAAAATCTGTAATATATCAAATTGAATGTAATTTACATCCCTTTTATAATGGCGAAGCAAATGTTGGGTTGAAGAAAAGAATGAAACAACATAACAAAACTATTCAAAAGAAATGAAGAAGAATTCAGGTCAGAAAAAGTAGAACCTCCTAAACATAAGTGTGCTATCAAAGCAAATTCAATTCCATGAATACATTCATTAACAATAATAAAATAGATTTTAAAACCAGAAGAGTGCAAGAATCTGTTTATTCTATCATTAACACTTTCATAAACAGATACAATCAATTGGATGAAAGCTTGTATTCTACTGCAACATGAGAAAGACAAAGTCATAAAAAGAATATAATTGAAAAAATAAACATTTCAACAGAAACATGAAATACAACAAAACCTAGAACAATATGATGATAGTGGTTCAGATGAAGAAGCATAGGTACTGTCTCATATCAGTATCGCAGTTTCATTCTATGCATATGATTATCATCAAAATAAGAACAAAAGAAATAAAAAGAAAAGAACATATATATATAAACTAACTCATTAGTGTGTTTAATAACAAAAATTCCGAAGAAAGTCAATTCTCTATGAAAACCTTAATAAATAATTTTTATTTTCATGAAATTTTAAGTCTATTAATTCAATTTATTTTACTATTTTTATTTCATTCTCATCTTAAACTAGTTTTAATTTTTGTTTTGATTTTTATCTTATATACTTTTCTTTTATTTAGTTGTTTTAAAAGTTCTTTTTTATCAAATCAATTACTACATACAGGAAAAGAATCTTTTAAAAACAATTGACATTTGTTTTTCACTGCGAAACTGCACTCTTTTGATCGGCAGAGAATAAGCACAACAGTGATTCAGTCGAAATCTTTTTTACAATCATATAACTCATCGAATATTAGCGAAGAAAAAGGTCGAAGCTCTCCAAATTTCGACAGAATCAAGAAAAATGACTGAGAATTTAATAGTCAAACTCTAGCATTAGATTACTCCGAGACACCTAAACGAGAGTCGCAATTATTTAAAGATCCTGCGTTGCAAAAGAACATAAGCAAAAGCGAATATTATCTATGATAAAATAATGAGCATTACAAAGTCAATCAATACCTACTTTTGTCATTACAATGCTACACCGGCGACATTTTTTGCAAAAACAGTCGCCTTACCATCAGGGAACATCTTTTTTAGATAGAATTATATAAATAGTTTTGTTCAAAACAAGAGAGACACAATGGATATCGAAATATTTGTAACTCAAAGCTCTTATTGATGATCCTCCTTGATTTTTGAAACTTTATTAATTAATAATTCTTTTGGTTCAATTTCAATCATTCTTTATTTTGTTCAGTTTTGCACATTCACTTTCATAAAAACGAAATACCGTTACTTTTGTTTCATCTTAGATTCAACACGCTGAATGCTTTTTTCAACATTTACATGTTTTCGATGGGTGGGTCCAAATCTAAGACGATAACAATCAGCCGCTTTTTTGTAATAAATTAGTGCTTTGTGCAATTCCTGCTTCTGTTCGTACACGAAGGCCATGCTCTCCCATGTTGCCCCAATTAATGGATGCTGGAATGAAAGAGACTTTTCTTTAATGGCAAGCGATTGTTCGAAATATTGCAGCGCTTCTTGCCAGCGACTATTGCATAGGTAGATAAGGCCCACATTGTTCAACGATGCAGCCACGTCTGGATGATCAGAAGGAAGGAATTTTTTACGAATCATCAATGCCTTATTATGGCATTGCAATGCTTCAGCGTATCGTTTCTCTTGATTGAAGACATTACCTATGTTACTGAGACTCGTGGCACTGGCCAAGTGTTCTTCACCAAACGCTTGCTTCCAGATCTCCAAAGCTTTCTTATATGATTCATATGCTTCTTTATAAGCATTTTGCTTTGCATAGACATTCCCAATACTGTTGTAGCTTTCGGCAAGATTAGTATCATCCTGTTGGAGGGTTTCATTTTTTCGCTTTAATGCTTTTTGATGCCACTTGAGACTTGCTGCGAAGTCGTCCTTTTCGAATGCGAGATCTCCGAATTTAGAATACAAAAGTACAATATCTTTATGATCACGAGGCAGTGTGTCGTACAAATGAATAAGATGTTTCTCGGCTTCGTTGAGTTTATTCATTTGCATCAACCGTGCGGCGAACAAGAGGCGTTTCTGTTCGTGACCTTTGACAAGATTCTCCATTTTCATGTGTTCTAAAGTGCTTCGCATATTATTTTCATCTTCGCTGCACAATCGCATTTTGATCGTCCAAACTTTACCATCACCACGACTAATATCAAGAATGCGATAGATGGATCCGACTGTCATGAGCACTTCTCTTTCATCCGGATGAGCACTATGTGCACTGACCTCAGCAAATGGTTTGACACCCTTAATTCGAGGATCAGCATCAATATCAAAGAAAATTTGTCGAAGGCCATCCGTAGTATCAACAAAGTCGAGGGCCTTCTTTGCATCTAGACTTGTTGAAAAAAATGAGCTCATCGAAATCAATTTTCCGATTGAATTTGATAATCCACGGAATTCATCCTCCGATATCGACTGAGATCGGTAAGTGCGAATGGGTGTTGAACATCGATGCTTTTCAATTGCTTTCCAAAGATCGAAGATGAAGAATCGCAGAAGATAAAGCAATTTGGTGTCTTGTACTCGTAATGCTTTATTCAACATTCTATATAGAAATGATTCCCGTGTATACCACCATAAGACTTTACCAGGTTTGTAATTATCCTTAAATTCACGAACGTTATGAAGTTCTTTTTTGTTTTCTTTGTACTTTTTCTTACAAATCGAAATTAGTTCTTTTTTATCTTCTTCAGTGGCGTCTATACGAAGAAGGGAATCCATCAATAGTTCAAATTGAAGATATTGCCCATTGAGACCGAGTGACGACCGACCTGCTACTGAATCGCGTTCCAAGAAGGTAATCGCGAGTTGCTCTTCCTTTTTTTTCGTCTTGACATGATCTTTTTCTATTCGACGAATGAGGTTATCGAGATCTGTAGTTATTAATTTGATCTAAATGGTATATTCTTAGAGAATTACAACTAACCATAACTTTTCTTTACTTTTGGATATTCACTAGCCCATTTCTTATTTTTATTTTTGTTCATGCAGTAGACATAAATGGCACAAACTTGTCGGAGTTTATAAATCCGAGGTACGATTTCTTGTCCCAAACCACCACTGACGATGACCACAATTCGATCAGACTCGTGAGACTTTCGAATGTATTTTTCGCATTTTTCAACATTTTCAAATACTTTGAGATAATTAATGATTCCACGAAGTTCTGATTGAGCCCTAACGTTTTCTTTTGCTGTGTTAACTGCTGCATCAAGCCAGATCAGACTGAATGTCTCGATGTTATCGTCAGCTGTTGTCATTTGTGAGTGACTTCTAAAGAATAAATATACATATTTGTTCAATGGTTCGGTATCAGCGAAGGATTTTATTTCGTTATTCGTTGCTTATTGGACTCATACGAGTTCGGAAATATAAGCTTGCATCTTTTCAAAATTTTCAGATTTTCAATTCTTGAAATAGAGTAAATAGTCACACCTCTTGTATAATCTCAGATTTGATATGCTGAGAACCATTAGGATTTTTTTTCTAGCGTGTCAGATCAGTCGACTGAGATTCTTTAGCTGACAGGCAAAAACAAAGAGGAGAATCTACCCATAGAAACATAGAATAGAGCCGCTGAATAAGAGGCTCGTTTAATGTGTCAATTAATCAAAACTGTCTTTCAAGGAAAGTTTGTTATCACAGTTTCACTAAGGTATATAGTATGAAATTCTTATAACTCTTCCCGTTTTTATTAGTAATAACTTTTTTTTTAGTATATCACTTTCTATATGCGCTAAGGACTAAGACAAAGGGAGAAATCTTTCAAAACTTAACACATAATAATTCGCAACAACTGATGTTGATCAAAATCTTCTTGGTTGTTTTGTTGAACTTTATCTAGGAAAGATATAATTTCTTTAAAAGAATTGATTGTGCTTGATCTATTCTTACTTGAAATCATTGTTTAACATATTTGAAGAGTTCTCAAGCCGGATGCTACCTGTAGCAAACCTGTGGCCATCTCATGATAGAAAATTAGTTTTTAAGATTCGAACTCAATTAGAGATGTTGACAAACAGTGAGGCAACCAATAAATGGAACATTTAAATGAAAACCATTTCTCGGTAATAATATCGATTGAAATCAACATTTGAATATTCTTTTTTAAATCGTCGATAGACAAAACACCTACCACATGTGCAATGCAAAATTCTATGCTCGGTTCTATTTCGACAAGTGAAAAATAAATCTTGACAAGAACTTCAATATTGAAAGAGAACAAGCTGATATCTGACGATTAAAATTTTCTGTAAATTTTTCGATTGGCTCGAGAATTAACCCTGAAATTTTGTATCAGATGATTACATTATAGTGTAATATAATTTGGAATTTTTTTTTCGGATATTCATTGGGATAAAATCACATCTTATGCATACTTGTGCATGATGTTAACAAAAGAAGTTTCTTACTTTCAATAGTTTTTGATATTTTCCAACACAGGAATAGCAGTGAGTAGTGGATCGATTCGTACAATGGAATCAATAAATCTTAAATGAATAGATTGGTAAAGGCAAAAAGTTAGTGAGCCAAATAATCGTTCAAAAAAGTTAACTAGTATTTCGCTACTTAATCGATTATTTGTTGATTGTTCAACTTACTCTTGTTAATATGGAATGCTATAAACTATAACTTTATAAAATTGCACAGAGAGTTACCTAAAAATTGTCTCACATGGTTGTTGGGAAAAAGAATCGGAGTGAATGTAATGCACAAATTAATACTTTTCCTAACAACAACTATTGATGAATAAAGCTGCGACGCAGAAGTGATGAAGAACTTTGACTTACAGTTGTGAAACGATTTTTGCGCAGTCCTTTACATAATCATGTTAGATTCCTGTGAGAATACATGACTTGTCTGATTGTAACTCATAATATATTGTCTTTACTTTGATAAAAAAAATTAATCACATATCAAGAGTTATTTTTCAGTGAGCAAAAAACAAAAAACCAATTTATTGCGAATGTCTGTGCCCACCCACCATCGACGCTCTAATGAAAGCAAAATATGAAAAGAAATATATAAGAAACACAAATTTTCTTCATTTACTCATTATGATCAGTGAGGGGTAACTAGATATGAGAAGAAGAACAGAACGCATATCTAATCGTACTCTACACACAGCCACAAGAAAATAATTTTTTTTCCACCTAAAAAATAGTGTTTGTTTTTCTGTCTCTCTTTACCTGAGTATGTTTTTATATATGCGAAAGCATTGAATATGTCTTTTCATACAAAACACATTGCGCAGACAAAAGTATGATACGATCATTAATTAAAGGAAAGAAAACTTGACAAATATCAATATACAATTAATGATGAAAATGTAATATTGCATACTTTTGCGAAGTGAAATTTTCGACCTTTTGCTCAACACATAAAACAAATACAATACAAACTAATTGATAAACATTAACATATAAATACATCGGTGGACATAAAAAGGGTCAAATACTCCTTTTCATAAAATTATATTGTACTATATACATTTTCATTATTAATTGTTTATTACTATTGTTCAAGTCTTTTTCTTTACAATTACTATTATTGTATGAAAGAGATGAATATATCTAACTTGAGATTTGATTCATAACAAATACGATAAATATGAATGTAGATAAATATTTATTCATGAAAAAAAAAAGAATACAAATGAGAATTTCGATTGTTATACGACCCTTATCAACCAATAAACCTAAACTTGATGGTACAACTAAGATAGCAAGACATAAAAGACATGTAAATGAGTGGACACACATCCACATGTGGCTATACATAAACTAAAAATGACATCATAAGCCTGAAATTAAACCTATAAATTAAATTGTTATTAGAATAATAATCTAATCAATAACATTAATCATTAATATCGTTATGTAATAATAACATCAATAACATTAATGAAAAATCAATCAGATGTATAATGATATCAAATAATTAATTTCCAAAACCAATAATGGTCGTACAATGACCGAAAATTCCCATCTGTACTCTTTTTTCTTTCATAAATAAAACTTTATCTACATTCATATTCATCGTACTTGTTATTACCATCATTGTTATTGTAGAACTATACACTTGAAATATATGATATATTGATTTAAATACATTCATTTATACCTTAGTCAAGTTAATACCCATCGATATATGTATATGTTAATGTTAATAGATTAGTTTATGTTATATCGCTTCTAGCTCTTATTGTTTGCTTCTGTAAATATATAGTTAGGCTAACGTCACAAGTGACATTTTTTAGTTGATGATGACCGTACTAACAATAAAAGGTCGAATATTTGGTAAACTAAACTTTGATCAAAAGTAAAAATGTCGCAAAAAAACTTCAAAATAATAAAAAGTAAAAATCTGAAAAGAAAATGAAATGAACAACAGCATTAGAAAGTCGAGGGTGTGGGTGTGGGTGTGGGTGTGGGTGTATCAGAAGTAAACCCACACCCACACCCACACTCACACCCACACCCACACCCACACCCCCACACCCACACACACACCCCCACCCACCCCCACACCCACCCACCCCCCCCCCCACACCCACCCCCACAC